TCTGTGATGAGCCATGTATCATAGAATTGCACGGATTCTGCGATTCGTCGGAGAAGGCTTCCGGAGCGTGTATATATGTGAGATCAATAAGTGCTAATGGGTGTATTAATACGTACCTTTTGTGTGCCAAGTCGAGGGTCGCTCCGATAAAAACCTTAACAATAGCAAAATTAGAGCTGTGCGGGGCATTGTTGCTGTCAAAATTGATGGTTAAGACAGTGCAATCGCTGAATGTTGATATAAGAAAAATTCACTATTGGACTGATGCTAAAATAGTTTTAGCTTGCTTACAGGCAGAGCCTGCAACTTGGAATGTGTTTGTAGCACATCGTGTTGCAGAAATACAACAAATAACGAACATTGACAATTGGGACCACGTATTAGGCAGCGAAAATCCAGCGGACTTATTATCCAGGGGTTGTAGCCCAAGCAATATGATTGACTCAAATTTGTGGTGGAAGGGACCCTCTTGGTTATGTCAAGAAAATCAAGAGTGGCCGTCAAATACAACATATTTGGATGATTTAGAAGAGAGAAAGACGTGTTGTAAGGCAAGTATTTACGTATATTTTGGAACAAGACATTTTTGAAAGATATTCTACATTCTCTAGGCTACAACGAGTAGTAGCCTACATTTTAAGATTTTACAAAAACACATTATTTCCTCAAAATAAAATTTTAGACGAAACCTTATCAGTGTCTGAATTAGAACAATCATTGGTTTGTTTGGTACGTATGTCACAAATTGTTTCATTTTCTGACGAAATTCATTGTTTAAAATCGAAAAAACCCATCGCAAAAAATAATAAATTACTTGAATTAAATTCCTTTTTAGATCAAAATCAAATATTAAGAGTAGGGGGTCGATTGAAAAAATCCGAAATTCCATTTGCACAAAAACATCCAATGATTTTAGATAAAGCTCATAAATTAAGTGAAATTATAATTAAAAATGAACACAAAAGAAATTTGCATATGGGTCCACAAAATTTATTATCAAATATAAGAACAAGGTTTTGGATTCTTGGTGGCATTAACACAATAAAAAGAGTTCTTAAGGCTTGTATCATTTGTTTCCGAGTAAAGCCAAGAGGCCTTAACATTCTCATGGGTGAATTGCCTGAGCAACGGATTACCCCTGCTAAACCATTTTATAATTCAGGTGTAGATTATGGTGGCCCATTCAGTATTAAAACCTCAACTCTTAGAAATGCTAAAATAGTTAAAGCTTATCTTTGCCTTTTTATATGCTTTGTGACCAAAGCTGTGCACTTGGATTTGTCCACTCCACCTTTTCTCAATGCACTCAAACGATTTATCGCAAGACGGGGCAGGTGCCAGAATATTTTTTCCGATTGCGGAACTAATTTTGTGGGGGCAAAAAATGAAATGTCAGAGTTTCTCACATTAGTACATAACAAAGACTTTAACAGTAAAATTGCTGAATATTTGGCTCATGATGGGATAAAATGGAACTTTATCCCAGCCCGTTCACCTCACTTCGGGGGGCTCTGGGAGTCTCACATTAAAATTGCTAAAAATTATCTAAGGAAAATAATTGGAAATGCTTCGTTAACCTTTGAGGAACTCACGACTGTTTTTTGTCAAATTGAGGCATGTATGAATTCTAGGCCTTTAAGTCCCTTATCAAATAATGTAACAGATTTGTCGCCTTTAACGCCTGGTCATTTTTTGGTAGGCGAAGCATTGATTACACTACCAGAATCTGATGTACGGGATCTCAAATGTAGTAGGTTAAGTAGATATAAGCATTTAAAATTTATTGTTCAGACCTTTTGGGACAGATGGAATCGCGAGTACTTATGTGAACTTCATAGGCGTAATAAGTGGAAGTGTCATAAAGATTCTAACATTAAAGTAGGAGATTTAGTCGTATTGAAAGACGAAAATCTCCCACCGTTAAAATGGGCGATGGGACGAATTGAAAATGTGTATCCTGGATCAGACGATATAGTTCGCGTAGTGTTGGTGAAAACTACGAACGGATTAGTAAAGCGAGCAGTGTCAAAAGTGTGTGTTTTACCTATAGATGACTAGATGAATGATTTGTTTATTTAATATGATTATTCTTATTTTTTTTTTTTTCTTTATTCAACATTTTGTTAACGATAATGGCATTTAATAATTTGTTTAGTTTAGATAGGTGATATTATGATATTTGTTATATTATTATCAATGCTATTTTTGAGGATAATTTACTTTATTTTTATTATTCGATTTTCATGTTCAGTAGAGTAGGTGTTTATAATACTATGTAATACTTTACTATTGTGTAGGATTTTGTTTCAAATTTTTCAGGAAAAACTTATTTTGTTTTGTACTTTCATTTTTGAAAGCAATCCTTTCAAGGGGGGCGGTATGGCGAAATAATATATTCTCGAATATAATAATATTCTCCAGAATATTCTATTTTAAATATTAAATAATAGAGGTATAAAATTTTCCATAGCAACAACACCCAATATGCCGCGCCACTTGATAGCAATTCTAATTCTTCGAACGCAATCTAGAATTCAATTCTGATTGGTCGAACACGACTCCGGAATTCTAGGCTTTTCCTTGAATATGTAAAAGAGACCACGGAGTCGCATTGTTAATCAGTTACGCGCAAGAGTTTCTAATATTAATAAGAGCGTCGTGGCAAGCTCAGTTTTTGAAGTTTTGTTTTTGGCTGCGGTCAAAAAATCATTCACACAATTGTAAATTTGTAAATAGTAATGTAAAGTAGTGAAGTAGTTCTGTGAATAAATACTTAGTGGTGTAAATAAGACAAAACCAGCGTTTAATTTCAATAAAAACAGCGACGAATTCAATATACAGTCCACTAATAATGAACACCACGACACTATCATTCTAGCCAAAAATATACAAAGTGTTCTATTTTAAAAAATGCAAGTGCTGTCATTATGACAGTTGGCACCTGTCAGTTGCCCATTTTGACATATGCAAAACATAATAGAGATAAAATCCTACAACTTTTGTATTGAACTTTTTTTTGTATTTTCTTTTGTTAAAGTTGTAGGAGCCGTACTAATTATGAGGAACAGACCCTGTACCTACATACATAGATAGAAAGTTGTAATTTTCAGCGATTCTTATCTCAGTAGTCAGTAGAGGACTACAATCCTTGAAAATTTCAACTCATAAGACTTACAGTTTCAGAAATAGAATCGCGGTAAGCAATTTGAGGTGATTTATCAATTTTTCAATTCTTCTGAGTGCCATTTTTCATAGAATCCAAATCTTAGAATAATTTAGTTAGTGTATGGAGTTTGGGGGATCACAAAGGACCAATAAAATACAAAATCTCAACAACAAAAAATTTTGGAATTTCATCGTTTCAATAAGAAGGTATGATTATGATTTAGATTTTGGAAAAATTTGAAAGGTCATAACTTTTTTTTTTTATAGATAAAAAGCTGAAATTTTTAGCGATTCTTATCAGTAAAGGACTACAATCTCTGAAAATTTCAGCTCATTTGGACTTGTAGTTCCAGAAATGAAATCGTGTTATGCAATTTGGGGTAAGTTTATAAGTTTTTCAATTTTATAAAATTTCATCATTTTAGTACATACTAAGGATGATTCGGATTTTTAAAAACTATGAAGACCCGTAACTTTTTTTTATTAGAGATAGAAAGCTGAAACTTACAGCGATTCTCTCCCAGTAGAAGACTACTTACTATCTCTGGAAATTTCAGCTCATTTGGACTTATAGTTCCAGAAATAAAATTGTGTTGGGCAATTTGGGATGATTTATCAATTTTTCAATCATTCTGAGTGCCTTTTTTCAGAGAATCCAGCTCCAAATCTCAGAATAATTCAGTTTATAGAGATTCAAAAAAATTTGAAATTTCATCATTTTAGTACTAAGGTAAAGTTTGTTTCGCCAGGGTTTGTACTTGCCACCAGCATTTGCCTTCCTTGTTTAACCAATAAAAATTGACTGAAACATATCAATGACGTCAAAAACGTTCGTCGGTTCCTAAACCAAAAGTCATTCATTTTAACTTGTCAAAAATATTGAATGTGTCATAGGAATTAATCTACGACAACCCTTTTTTTTCAAGTTTCAAGGTCGAGTATAAACCCTGGTGAAACGGACCTTAGCTACCTTATGATTTAGATTTTGTAAAGTTTAAAAAATCATTATTTTTTTTCTATTAGAGATAGAAAGCTGAAATTTTCAGCGATTCTTATCCCAGTAGAAGATTACAATTTCTGGAAATTTCAGCTTATTTGGACTTATAGTTCCAGAAATAAAATCGTGTTAAGCAATTTGAGGTGGTTTGTCAATTTTTCAATTTTTCTGAGTGCTTTTTTTCATAGAATCCGGCTCCAAATCTTCAGAATAATTTAGTGTATGGAGTTTGGAGGGTGGTGTATGAAGTCTAGGAGGTAAAAGAAACACAGAAAGTTGATGATTACTGGAAAACATGAGGAAGTTGTTTGTCATTGGGTTTGGAAGTGATGAGATATTATCAAAATTAGTTAATAGAATTTTTCTTGAGTGAAATACCTAAAGAATCATTTAGTGAAAACAAACAACAGAAGCAAATGAAAATTAGTCGCAGCATCGACTTTTCATAAAACTGATGTTTTTTAAACTTCATTTGATTTGAAAGAAAACATTGAGCAAGAAGCTTCTGTGGGACTTGTATCTGGAGGAATTTTATCAGAAGCCCAAGAAAAAATGGTAATCTAATACATAAGTCACAAACGTCAAACTCTAAGTTCTCTTTTGTAATTGTTTCCGCTGCTGATGATATTCTTATAATCCCAAAACATGTACTAGAAGTTTTCCAATAAAGAAACAAATAAAAATTAGTGGAGATGACTGAAGTTCTTTTTGTAATTTACAAAGCTCCACTGTAAGAAAATGTTTTTTTTTTTTTAAATTTAATACATATTCCTCTATATCTAGAAATACTACTGCAAATAGAAGGAATTCCAAAACAATTTAATAAGTAAATCCTTACCCTTAAGAGCATCGTCAGATGACGCCCTCTTACGTTTACTTCCCACTTTCTCATCCGACGGCTCAGATTTTAGGGCACCTGGTCGAACTGGCAACAGCGTTTTAATTCCTAAAACAGTAATATGAATTTAATTATTTTATTTAGCTAATTATCATATAGTTGAAATTCCCATTTAAATTAGTAAGTACATATTAATAATCGATAGCGGCAAGGCAAATCCATTGTGTTTTGTCAAGCCAAACAGAGTCAAGTTCTGTTTTTCAACTGATTATTATCTTTTCACCAACTAGAGAGCCACTTGAATTGTAAATCTTTAAACCTCAAAATGATTTTCTCAAAGAGGAGTCTTGGATTTCAGATCTTGCAGCTCAAGTATTTTGAGAGAGGCGAAAATTGCAATTTCATTCCCAATAACAGTTTACGTGTAAGGGTTAATGATTTTGAAATAATATCAAATTTGCTCTACCGCCATCGCTCATAACAAATTAAAACTATCAACCTGAAACTATAGAGTGCTTTACAATAATGACCAACATACAAAAAATGCAATAAATTTTCAGAAACTTAATTATGTTAATAAGCTTCTGTTAAATAATAAACATACAATCCCAATGCACTAATTGTAGGTTAAATACTACCAAATCTACTTTTGCGTCTTATTGTAGCCCATTTCGTCTCTTTCGAAGCTAAAAATGTTATTGTAAAAACTGACCCTTCAAGGGTAAAGATGAATGACAATACATTAGGTTTTTTTCTCCCTCTTTGTTCAACTAATCATGTCATGCATATTTTTGCATCAAGCCTTAAAACAGAGATAGAAAATAATGGTGCGATCATGGAACACAATCTACAAAATTCCACTAAAATGCAAAAGTACCTTGCGACGGCCTTGACGAACACAAATTCTTGATATTAATGTCGTCGCGCATCGCTACGTCATCATTTTTCCCAAGTAGATCTTTCAAGTTAATATCTGGGTACATGTCAGACGGCAGTCCTGCAAAACGTCATTTACACCATACTCATTCCACATTTGTTAAGTCCCGAAATTAATTCTCTACTTTGACCAGTTTGTTAAAATACACTTACCGGGAGGTAATGGGTTCGAGGTGCCTCCAATATCTATCGGTTTTTGGGTCAACAGTTTGATAATTTCGGTATTATTGGTTCTAGTAAGATCTGGAGTTTTCCTGTTATCGTTTGCAGGATCCAGAAGAGCGCTTGTGGATTTTGATGTTTTTGGAGTGACTAAATACATACAGAAAAAGTTGTTAGACAACAAAATTTGGTAAGTACCTGAATATTTAGTCTTAAAATTAGAAAACTTGACTCAATATGGGTGGATTTGGAAAAAATCTAAAATTTTTAGTAAATCTGACTCTTGTTAGTACAGTCGAAATAGGGTTTAGGATGGAACTAATTCCCACAAAGACAGGGTTCGATTTTTTAAGTTCGTTGCTCATATCTTTTCAACATACTGAAAGTTTAGAAAAATGTGAGTGTACAAAATGCGCTTTTTGGCCGCCATCTTGAATTTTTTTAAAATCATGTTTGGTATCAAATAACGGGACATTTTATACTGAAAAAGTACATATTATGGATTGAAAAGAATAAAAATTATTAACAAAATAGTATGGGAAAAACTAAGCCTATACTGTGTAAAAATAATAAAATTCCATTTTTTTTTTCAGGTGATTTATCCAAGTTTTGACAATTCCCAAGAAGCTAAACATGGCAGATATAAACTGTATATTGTGCTCTGAAAATAGAAACGAAACTTCAAAGTTTGTTAAGTTAGCTGCCAAAGGTATACAAGAAATCATAAGTGCAAGTAAAATTTGAAAAGACAATATCCATGAGCTATTTGAACCACTTCGTGATAACCCCGTGAGTGTCCATGTTGAATACCGCTGTGTATGTACTAATCCCAATAATATCCTAAATGAAAAATTAAAATTACCTACTCAGGATGTAGAACAAGGTAGCGAAATATGATAAGTGCAACTTGCGTGTGCAATTACTCAGAGCTTTAGATTTCGGTACTGTTTATTTTGGCGGATACCGTAGATATTTTGTGGAATACCAGTGAGTTGTTAAAGACGCCGCGTCCTGAATGGAATGGATAAACGCAAAATGTCGTAATCAGTGATGAGCACCCAGGGGTATAGTATCTACAACATTTTTACCTGATTAATATAAATCCAGCAACTTACAGCTGTGTTTATACCACTTTGAAATTTATATTTTCGGAAACAGAAAAACTCACCATACCATACCAGTTGTAACATTTGATCAGTGCCTATGAAATTTGTTTACAGCTAATTCGAAGAATTCCCAAACATTTTAATTCATCTTGGTGGCTTCCATACACTGATGTCATATTCAGGTACAATTAGTAAACTGTTATCGAAGAGACCTTGAAGACCATTTACGCAGAAAACTCAGTCTCACATATGCTTACAGGTAAAGCTTATTCAAGAGCTGTCAGAGGACACATACTGCTTTCATCTGTACTCACATCAATGTTGCTTCAGGATATCCTGGGCAGTAACTTGCAACTTCCGGCAGACCTCTCAAGTGAGGGACAGGTGGAACCCATGGATACAGGTGAAATACAGTTTTAGTCTTATGGAACTTCACGATAAGCTATATAATAGCGAGAATACAGTCTCTGAAATCAGTTCCTCTACCGAACTGCTAAAAAAGTTGTCTTCTGAATTTCAAGAAAAAAACAACTATTTAAAGGTTCAAAGTAAAATAGCCAAACTGTGGAACATATATTTAGATATGGTTGACAATGCCAAGGCATTTATTTGAGCTGAACGAACAGGACTTTGCATTTGCAAGCTATAGAGCACATGCTGCCTTTCTTCGCGGCTGCGGAGCACAACAACTATTCAAAATGTGCTAGGGTATATCTACAGCAAATAAGACAAGTGGAAAAAAATCATGAAGATGTTTATAGTTTGTTATGTGCTGGTCATTTCACTCTTCGTAGACACACTAGATTGTGGGCTGGAATATGGACAGATAAGTTTAGTGAACAAACATTAATGCGATCAACAAAAAGTCGAAGTGGGTTAACACCGTTAACTCCCGTATTAGCAGTGAATAAAATATTGAAATATCCGATGCTAGGACATCTAGAGATATGAAATACTTTCTTACATAACTTCAATTTTTGCAAGATCACAATCCATTTGATTCAGAATGCGTTCAGCTACGTAATATTTTCAGTGGGTTAGTAGACAGTCACCACAAGGTAACTGCACATGATGCTAAGTTAAATGGACTTCAAATCCAATCCAAACTTACTGGGAAAACTTTACACTCTGTTACCATGGTTAAAAAGGATCAAGCTGTCACAATGAATATACTAAGAAAAGGTATTGCTATTAATGCAGCTGTTCAACATATTAACACAAGACTCCTAACTCAGAGAATGCTGGTATGTTTGTCTGTTAATCCTAATCTGCGAAAATTAAAGGAGAACTTTAATTATGAATTATCTATACTTCCTCCGTCTCTTTTTGATCCAGACATTCAGTTATTAAAAAAATGCGACAAATCATCATTGGCAAGAACTTTGAATGACTTACAACCTAGTTTAACCCTTTCAGGACGGATTTTTATTTCTGTTTTACGTGTTGTAATCATTGATATTAGTTCATTTCTTAACATTAAGAAGCTTTTAAAGCAGTTTGTATTTTTTTTAGAATATTCCAAAATGTATTTGATATTTTGAAACATGGGATATATTGTCCTACTAGTCCGTTCTAGCGGGACATTACAGCCCGTCAGTCTTGAAATCGTAAGATGATAAACAAAAAGAAATACAAAAAACTGTATTTTAGTGAATAAACGAAAATTTTCAGCAATTCTTTTAAGCTCAGCTTTATTTTAGTGGCTTTTTTCTATTTATTTTAAAAAAACACATTTTTAAGTTTCGTGGGACAAAAATGATCCCACCGATAAAACCTGTTGGGGCATAACAACCCACGAAAAAAAAATCTGAAAATTTCGCATCAAGGAATGTGTAAAATATTTTCAAACTATTATATACACTAATGGAAAGGTACGCCTCTTGATTACACAGAATAAACAGTACATAATTGCACTGAAAAAGACTTAAAAACATCCAAAAATAATCAGCATGCCAGAGCTGTCAGTACTTCAAGTAAATTACTTGGAAATTTTATTTCAATTACCTTTAAATATTTGAAGTACACTTTTGTTTTTGGATATTTGTACTTGATTTTGGAAATACTTCAAATAAGGTATTTGTATTTGCTACTTGGATTTACAAAAAAAGTAATCCAAATACTGGGCATTTGTACTCAAAATACTTAAAAATATTTCAAATACCCCAGAAAGTAAAAAGTAATTTAAATACCAGAGAAAGTAATTCAAATACTTCACCAAATGTGAAATTAACATGTCCTAACAAGTATGCAGAGGATACCAGTATATAGTATTTTTAATACCCATTTAGAATAACCCCATCCTTATTTATCAATCACGAATCAGATGAAACAAAAATTTTCAACAAAAACGAACATCGATTGCTAATACGTCAATTTCATGTACAAATGGGAAATTCGTAACCTAATTTTATTTGTGTGTTCAAGAAGCGATATACGTTTAGTCACTAGAACGACTGGTAGTTCTAAATAGGTATTAAAAATACTATAGATATAAAATCCTTGGATATGTTTTCTGTCATAAAGGAAGTTTTCCATAGGGACAATACGTTTTTTCCGTCATCAGCCCCTGTAGACTGTAGAAAGACTTTTTAGTTTTGCAGAAATAGTGAACGCATCTCGAAACATGGGCTTTCTGACTGGCATTTCGAACTTTATTTCTTAATCAATCTTTTCTACATCAATTTTAAATTTTTAAATTAAAAGTAACTACCTCGGTACTCGGTAACTACAATCTAAAACTGGAATCTGGAATCTCTGTAGTACTTACTTTTTCAGAGGTATTACAAGTATTTTCAGCTTTCAATATACTATTTTAAAAAATCATTGAATAATTTGAACTCCTTTTTAGTGGGTACTTGAAGTACTTGTTATTATTTCAAATACACATAGGTATTTCAAATATCCAAATATCCAATTAAGTACTTGAAATACTTACAGAGTATTTGAATTATTTTACTTGAAAAAATCAGATACGGAATTTTAGTACTTGAAACTTGAAGTACTTTTCAAATTGAAAGTATTTAGTATTTATACTTGCAACATGAATTTCTCGTAATTGATACTTGGTATTTGAAATACTATTTACCAGTATTTGTGACAGCTCTGGCGCCGTGGAACTCGAAAAATTTGAGGTTATCTCGCTTTGCTTGCAAATAACAAACTGTTAGATAACCGCAGGCACTGAAAATACTAAACCGGCATTCATGTACAATTGGGAGCATATTTCTCAGCAGTTAAAATAAAATTTCACTTGGGATTTATTGTCCTGTTCGTCTTGGAAGGGTTAACTTACATGTTGCCTGCGGAAACATGTTATGTTCTTGACGGTGGTGTGCACTACTACACAAATTGCCATGGCCAAAAACTAGGTTGTTAGATGTGTTACAACTATATAGCAGTCATATTGCTAACCAATATAAAGTTGTAACAGTCATATTTGATGGCTATAGCACCTTCAGTACAAAGGATGTTGAGCATCAGATACGCACAAAACAATCATCGGTAACAGGAGACCTCTCCACTTCTTATTGGCAAAGCATATTTTCTTTCTAATAATGAAAATAAACAGTGCTTTATTACCATGCTTGGGAAAAACTTAGAAGCCAATGGCTACATTGTGATTCATGGTACAGATGATGCTGACACACTTATTGTCAGAACAGCAGTGACCTTGGCAGAAGAAAAACATGTAACACTTGTTGACTACAACGATATTCTGATACATTTAATTTATTACGAAATATGTATTTGCTTGCAGTCATCCATGTTCAGTGATAAAAAACGTGATATTGAATCGCTACAACATGTGCTTGGAGAAAAGGGGTGCAAAATCACTCTCTTCTCCCATGCTTTAACCGGATGCGATACCACAAGCTCCTTCTTTGGGAAAAGTAAATCGGCAGCATATTGACATTTTTGGAAATGTGAAGAATTTAGCATTGGCGCTACTTTGTTTGGATCAAAAAATGCAAACAGAAAGGAACTTACAGTCATTGGCACCAAAGTATTGGTATCGTTGTACAGTGGAAAATTCAAAGACAGAGATTTAAAATCTACTACGATATAATCTCTACTTCTACTCGAGAAAAATCACATCCTTTCCAAAATGCTAGCGGAAGTTCTTGACACTTAGCGTAAGTTGTGTCGTAGCTAGCGCAGCTATAGTAAGTAAATGTTATACAGGGTGAACTATGAAATCTTACAAAATGTCGCCAGCTCCAAGACAAGATTTAACGTTTACAAGCGCTATCTATTCGCGAAGTAGGTAACTAAAACTTAACCTCACAAAGAAATGAAAAAATTGAGGTAGGTATCTTTTTCAACCTTGATGCGCGCGCAACTAGTGGGTTGTACAGTGACTGTATTACCACAGTGGCGACAATAATTGCAGTCTTATTTATCGCCCCCCTACAGAATAAATATCTGGATAATTATTAAACGGCTAGAATATGCTAACGTTAAACAAGCTTTGGATACAATTTGTAAAAACTAAATTTAACATGTAGGCGCTGATGATTCAGTTCAGCCTGTATAACAGTCACCATAACAACTTACGCAAAGTGTTACGAACTTCCGCTAGCATTTTGAAAAGGATTTTATTTGTCACTCATTTGTAAAACGTCATTTATCAAGTCAAAACATAAACAACGAAAATTGATTTTTACCAGTTACTGGCTCTACTGATTTGTAAAATTGACAGCTAAACTGTAATAGTTATTTACCTAACAAATGCGGAAAGTGATACTTTACCGCAAGCGGAGTTCGGTCAAGCCGTTAAGGGCGGTAAAGGCACTTTCCGCGTGTGTTAGGTACAAAATTTTACCTATGAGCATCTAAATCTGCAAAAAAAGGCATTGATAAAATTAATTAATGAATCAGATTAATTAATGGTAAAGTGCACTTTACCGCACGTATTTGGAAATGGAAAGTATCACTTTCCGCATTTGTTAGGTAATAGTATATTACATACCGAGTAGGGAAGTGTTTCATTACTGTCGAGAGATTTATATAGTCAATCGAGACGCGAAGTGTCGAGATTGACTATTAATCTCGAGACAGAAATGAAAACTTTCCTCCGAGGTTTGTATACTATTTTATTTGCAAGCACACCATTGATTATGATTAGTCAAGCAAGTTTTTTAATATTAAAAAAATAAAAAAAAACATGCCAAAATGTGTCATTCACTACTTTGACGTTTTTACCTGACATGTTCTCATTGTTGCCAGCAAAGGTAAATAAATTAGAGTGAGGGAAATCGGTGAGGGAAGTCGAATAGGGAAATCGGTGAGGGAAATCGAAGAGGGAAGTGACACAAGTAAAGTGTCACTTCCAAATTTTTAAAAAGTCAGTAATGACAAGATTACATATATGATTGCAAATAAATAACTATTACAAGTCAGTAGGGTCAAGAGAATGATTTATTAAAATTGTATTACTTATGTATTAATTTTTTATTCATTGTTTACAAATGAGTAACAAATAAATTATTGTACATCATACGCCAGGTATCAGTTTTTACTGGCTCTTGAAGGTGACAAGCTCGCCTGACGGCTCGCTAGTCATTTCCTTCAATCACCAGTAAAAACTGTTTTACCTGGCTAATAATGTAAAATACTATAACAACTGGGGGGGAGGGCTAGCGTCACCCTAGCCCCCCCCGAATATAAAGCCACATATCTTTTGACCTGTAGCTGCGCTAGCTTTCGAAAAAGTTGCCCTAAGTTGCGCTAGCTCTGGAGAACGAGGGCTAGGGTTTTGGATAAAAATTATCAACTGGGGGGGGGCCAGGTCTACTGAGCCCTTTTGATTATTAAAAATGCAATTTTCTGGATAAGCTTTCAGTTTTTCGCCCACCACTTTGTTATTCATGTTTATTTATTGAGATTATCATCATAATCTTGTTCAGCATAAAATTTCCCGTCATTTGTTATCACACACGATTTTTCAGGAATTTTTTGAAAAAATTTAAAAGGGCGGCCAAAAAAACGCATTTTGCATGCTCACATATTTCTAAACTTTTAGTATGTTGAAAGGATATGAGTAATGAACTCAAAAAATTAAATCCCGTCTTTGTGGGAATTAATTCCACCTTTGGCAATTTTTTTTGCGTAAATCTATTGTACTATGTAGAGAACTACAAACCCTGAAAATTTCTACTCATTTGGACTAATATGAGAAGGGAATTTTTTAATTTTTCAATTTACAATCCAATCTCACAATAATTCACACTCACAGTATGATGGAGTTTGGGGGATCCCAAAAGACATAAAATCAACCTGGAAAAATTTGAAATTCCAACATTTGTTATTTGAATTTCTAAAAATCTCCAATTATATTATAGATAGGAATCTAGAATTTCCAAATTCTGATTTAGACAAAAGCCATTTGAATTCAAGCTCACAAGGCATTGATAATACAAATCTGATCCATAAAATATAAAACTTACCTGTAGCTTTTTCTGTCCTGTAACTACTCAGTCTCGGCGTCGCAGGGGTCCGGTCGAAATCGTCCGCCATCGTTCTGGCATAAGCCAGATCGGCCACTTTCGGCGTCGAATCCAGATATTTCGCGTACTCCGGATGATAGTGCTTGACGTGCATCAGAGCCAGATTTTCGCGTCGGTAATTCTTGCCGCAACCTTCGACCGGGCACTTGTACGTGTCGTTTTCGAAAATTATCTTGAAAGTCATCGAATCTTCTTTTGTATCTTCTATAAGGAATATCAATATTTTGTTTTGTTAGTCAATTGAAATTCTGGTGCAAATTGAAACAGTGCTATGTGATTAAAAAAATGAGGTAATTCCCTGAGAAGGAAATATAATCAATTAAAAATAACTTAAGATAAAATTTTTACTTATCAACAAAATACTGAAATTGAATGCATTATGCGATTACAATATTCATTGCAATAATAATGATTTCTGTATAAGTACGTGCTTCAGTTAACTACATGTTTGATTTTCATTATCAGCTTAATATGATTTTTTCAATGGAAATGATGAACTAGCAACTGACACATACCTTTTTTTAAAACAAATGTCAATTTTCACATACCTTTTTCTCCAACATTGTTGTCAACTGGTGGTAAATCTACAGGAGGTAGAGCTTCAATTGGAGCCACCTTCGGTTTTGGAGGTTTGCCGCGTTTCCTTTTAACAGGCTTCTCTGTTTGATCAACAAATAATTAATAAAAAATAATTAAAATGTTTCCAACAAACCTTCAAAATCGTCATCCAGAGGCTCGTCCAAGTCAAGATCGGCAGCAACATGTGCCCCCCGCCTTTTCCTTTTTTTCGTAGCTCTATTCCGGAAAATGCCGAAATTGAACATTCCAGGTGTGGCGCCCATACCTGGATGAAGGTCCAGGTAATGTTTTATGTCCTGCTTCGATCTGAACCGTTTACCGTTTGGACTAAATTGAAATAACAACAAAAATTTATGTAGTTCTTTGGACTCTATACATAATATTGAAAATAGTGCCCTTTCAGAATCTTCAAAATATTAGTTTTCAACACATTAACAATTTAGCTTGTGACACAGCACCATACAGAATTCATTTCTAGAGCGACTTTATCACGAAATATTGTTAATGTGAAATTTCATTTTGCATTAATTTTAAATAATAAATAATTCCTTACGCTACAAAAATGCAGTCCCATTTTCCAGCCTTCGTTCCGTTGGTCCTCTGAGAAAGATGCCTGCTCCAGCCAGGCGGCATTCTTGGATCAGGCACGATCGTGGAATGTCTCCAGCCCTCGATGCATTCAAGGTTCGATTCGACGCCCACCGGTTTTTTGCCCTTCCAGGTTGGATACCAATCTTCCAAGGACATAGAGGTTGCTGGCTTGGGTGACGCGGCGGCTTCGTCCTGAGATCCGGAAGAAGAACAGGTGGTTTCTTGATTCGATATAGGGCTGTTTTTGCCTCCGGTGAAACTCGAGCGCGGTCTTTTCTGGAATAGAGCGGCCACGTTGAGTATTCGCTTTTTGTCGCGACGTTCTTGCTTCGAGCTCTGGATCGGATCGAACAGAGGGGACATCTGTGGCGGTTTTGTGGTAGACGCGACCATTTTGGTTATTTTGTTGGATTTTATGGCTTTTCTGAAGCCGTCGTCGAATAATACTTCGTACAAGTCTGAAAATTTCAAGTTTTGTTTTATATATAGATTGGTTGGTTAGGCTTGGGCAATAATAGGACTTTTGAGGATTTCAGAGTAATATTTCCAAAAGGGCTGTTATGTTTTTGCCTTTACATAAGCCATGTTGCGCAAATGAACGTAATTTTTTTTTCTATAAAATATGCCCGAGAATATGCTTCTACCTCGGCTTCTACATAGTGGGATTTTTATGTTTTTGTCAAACAAAGATAGATTGGATATTGGTATATATATAATTTGAAAGATTTGATGTATCACCCTTTTTAAAAATGGAAATGGTACGCGCTCGGGTACAACCTACCTTGAGAGCTGTTGGGTATGTACCGTCTCTTGAAATAACAAAGTGAGAGACAACAATATGAGAAATTCAATGAGTAAGGAAGAGACAGATATAAAGTAAGATATAGCATAGTAATACAAATTTTGACTATTTCCCAGGCTTGAGTAACGAGTGGCAGTGGCCTTTAGAGTCTGTGATCAAAACAAGGGGCAAACCACTTAGGAATTCTTTGCCAAAAATTTGGGGAATTTAGAGGAATTTGTGAGGAATTTGAAGGAACTCATCCGAGCTTATGAGAATTTGGAGAATTTATAGAGAATTTGGAGGAATTTATGGGGAATTTAGGAGAATTTGTGAGGAATTTATGAGGAATTTAAAGGAAATTGTCAAATTTGAAAAAATCAAAAGAATAATGGATACAGTTTTTGTAGGCTGATTTACAAGATTTTTCATGTTTTTATTTTCAACTGAGAAAATTTGAAATTTTGAGAAAATGAGCTTCTCACCTTCCTCTTTACATGCAAAAAGTTTCAAAATTTTCCCCTGAAACTGTATTTTCAACTAATTGAGTTATTATAGGTTGATTTCCAATATTCCTCATGTTGCTGTTTTCCACTGGAAAAATTTTAAATTTTGGGAAAATGAGCTTCTCGCATTCTTCTTTACATGCAAAAAGTTTCAAAATTTTCCCTTCATTCCAGGAAAACTTTGAAATGTGTAAGACCGTATTTTCAACTAATTCATCAGTTTTTGTAGGTTGATTTCCAAGATTTTTCATGTTGCTGTTTTCCACTGAAAAAATTTGAGATTTTGGGAAAATGAGCTTCTCACCCTCCTCTTTACATGCAAAAAGTTTTAAAATTTTCCCTTTACTAGTTTTCCAGGAAAACTTTGAAATGTATGAGACTGTATTTTCAACTAATTCAGTTTTTGTAGGTTGATTTCCAAGAATTTTCATGTTGCTGTTTTCCACTGGAAAAATTTGAAATTTTGGGAAAATGAGCTTCTCACCCTCCTCTTTACATGCAAAAAGTTTTAAAATTTTCCCTTCACTAGTTTTCCAGGAAAACTTTGAAATGTGTGAGACTGTATTTTCAACCAATTCAGTTTTTGTAGGTTGATTTCCAAGATTTTTCATGTTGCCGTTTTACACTGGAAAAATTGGAAATTTTGGGAAAATAATGTTCTCACCTTCCTCTTTACATGCAAAAAGTTTCAAAATTTTCCTTTTACGAGTTTTCCAGGAAAACTTTGAAATGTATGAGACTGTATTTTCAACTAATTCAGTTTTTGTAGGTTGATTTCCAAGATTTTTCATGTTACTGTTTTCCACTGGAAAAATTTAAAATTTTGGGAAAATGATGTTCTCACCTTCCTCTTTACATGCAAAAAGTTTCAAAATTTTCCCTTCACTAGTTTTCCAGGAAAACTTTGAAATGTGTGAGATTGTATTATCAACTAATTCAGTTTTTGTAGGTTGATTTCCAAGATTTTTCATGTTACTGTTTTCCAATGGAAAAATTTAAAATTTTGAGAAAATTATGTTCTTACCTTCTTCTTTACATGCAAAAAGTTTAAAAATTTTCCTTTCACTAGTTTTCCAGGAAAACTTTGAAATGTGTGGGACTGTATTTTCAACTAATTCAGTTTTTGTAGGTTGATTTCCAAGATTTTTCATGTTGCTGTTTTCCACTGGAAAAATTGGAAATTTTGGGAAAATGATGTTCTCACCTTCCTCTTTACATGCAAAAAGTTTCAAAATTTTCCCTTCACTAGTTTTCCAGGAAAACTTTCAAATGTGTGAGACTGTATTTTCAACTAATTCAGTTTTTGTAGGTTGATTTCCAAGACTTTTCATGTTGCTGTTTTCCACTGGGAAAATCGGAAATTTTGGGAAAATGATGTTCTCACCTTCCTCTTTCCATGCAAAAGCTTTCAAAATTTTTCCTTAACTAGTTTTCCAGGAAAACTTTAATTTGTGTGAGATTGTATTTTAAACTAATTCAGTTTTTGTAGGTTGATTTCCAAGATTTTTCATGTTACCGTTTGCCACTGGAAAAATTTGAAATTTTGGGAAAATTATGAATTATGTTCTCACCTTCCTCTTTAAATGCAAAAAGTTTCAAAATTTTCCCTTCACTAATTTTCCAGGAAAACTTTGAAATGTGTGAGACTGTATTTTCAATTAATTCAGTTATTGTAGGTTGATTTCCAAGATTCCTTATGTAATTTTTTACTGGAGAAATTTGAAATTTTGGGAAAATGAGCTTCTAACCTTTCTCTTTACATGCAAAAAGTTTTAAATTTCTCCCTTCATTAGTTTTCCAGGAAAACTTTGAAATATGTGAGACTGTATTTTTCACTAATTCAGTTTTTGTGGGTTGATTTCCAAGATTTTTCATGTTGCTGTTTTCTATTGGAAAAATTTGAAATTTTGGGAAAATGAGCTTCTCACCTTCCTCTTTACATGTAAAAAGTTTCAAAATTTTCCCTTCACTAGTTTTCCAGGAAAACTTTGAAATGTGGGAGACTGTATTTTCAACTAATTTAGTTTGTGTACGTTGATTTCCAAGATTTTTCATGTTGCTGTTTTCTACTGGAAAAATTTGAAATTTTGGGAAAATGAGCTTCTCACCTTCCTCTTTACATGTAAAGAGTTTCAAAATTTTCCTTTTTTTAGAGGAATTTGTGGGGTATTTGGAGAAGTTCGTGGTAGGGTATTTGGAGGAGTTTGTGATGGAGTATCTGGAGGAATTTGGTAGAATTTGCAGGAATTTTGAGGAATTATGCGTAAAAAATTCCCCTTTGAGGAATTGTTTGCACCAATTCTGGGATGGTGGTTTACTCCTTGATCAAAATTACTGACAGTGACTCATATAATGCCGCATGCAATAACAACTATGCGGCAAATTAAATAGAAACCATTAATTAGGGCACCTATTAATTGATTAAATATACACGCCACTGGAATAATTTCTCCTGAAGTCTCACAACCCACGCCGCTCTATATGTGAGGAATGATCACTATTAGAGAGATTACAGTAATTATTGAATCTGAAAAATCAAGAAACAGAGAGACACAGTATATGAAAAATTGAATGGGTGAGAAAAAAATAGACAAAATAAGAAAACAAAAAATTACACATTTTGGCTATTTGAGTCCTACAAATCAGTTTTGATTATTTCCAGTGCTTGAGTGGTCCCATGAGTGGTCTAGTACCTATTTGACCAATCAATTGTCTGGAATAGAGAAAAATAGTATGCCAAATTCAATGGGTAAGAAAGGGACATAATATATAAAAATATTACACAAATTTTGACTACTTGTGTCTGACAAATCAATAGCTTGAATATAACAGAGTAGTAGACAAAAGTATAAAGAATACGATGATTGAGAAAGAGACAAATATAAAGTGGGGTAAAAACAAGTGACACAAATTTTGATTATTCCCGGCGGTGCTTGAGTGACCAATCGAATGCCTGGGCCCTTATTTTTGGAATAAGGAGCAGCGTTCCCATGAGAATGAGTGTTCTGTCTTTGTTACTCATATTAACATTTGTATTTCATTGAGAAAGACAGATCAATCGTTCTCATGAGAATGCTGGTCAATGATTTCAAAAATAGGTACTTACCCTGGAACAGCGAAATATGGTATGCAAAATTTAATGGATTAGAAAGGGAAGGGTACAGGACCGAAACAGGATCGATACAGGACCTTGCAAGACCCATATTGAACTTGATAGGACCCGAGGCAGAACCCATACAGGGCTTGGCAGAACTTATCAGGAATGATATTTACTGATTTGTGCTGATATGCAAAATTAGCTACAGGACTTGACAGGATATTGCAGGACTTGACAGAACCTGGCAGGACATTGCATGACTTGGCAGGACTTCACAGGAGCTTGCAGGACTTGGTAGGACCTTGCAAGACACATACAGGACCTGACAGGACTTGCCAGAAATTATATTTACTAGTTTTCCACATTTACATTTTACGTCTGCATACTTAGTCTTGTTACAGGTTACAGTGCAATGCAATTTTCAATTTTCCCTTTTCATTTAATTTTTGACTTCTTCATTTACCCATACCTGATGACTTCTTGATTCTGCACAATTGTGGACAAAATGTAATTTTGTGTAAAATAAATGGTATTTATTTAGGCCTGTGTTTTTTTTTTTGCTTTTTGTGGTAATACAGGACGAGACGCAGGACCTGACAGGACTTTGCAGGACCTGACAGGACTTCACACGACCTGACAGGACTTTACACGACCTGACAGGACTTTGAGGGAATTGACAGGACTTTGTAGGAACTGACCGGACTTTGAAGGACTTGACAAGACTCGGCAGGTTCTGACGGGACTTGGTAGGACTGGGCAGGTTCTGACAGGACTTGGTAGGACTGAGCAGGGTCTGACAGGTGACAGGCCTTGATAGTTGCGTTTTAGGCAAGAGGTGTTTTTATGGATCTGCTGGACAGAGATAAAATGGAAATAAAGATATTACAAAAATTTTGGCTATTTGTGTCTGACAAATTAAAAGCTTGCGCATAACAGAGTAGGAGATAAACATATAAAGATTTTGATGATTAAGAAAGGGACAAATTCAAATTAAAGTAGGATGAAAAAGTGACACAAATTTTGGTTATTCCTGGCGCTTGAGTGGTTTTGTATCTGGTCAATCATGTGTCTGGAATAGAAAGAAATGGTATACAAAATTCAATGGGTAAGTAAGGGACAGAGATAAAATGGGAACAAAAATATTACATAAATTTTGATTATTCCCGGCGCTTGAGTGGTTTTCTGTCTGGTGAATCAAGTGTCTGGAATAGAAATAAATGATATGCAAAATTCAATGGGTAAGTAAGAGACAGAGATAAAATGGCAACAAAAATCTAACACAAATTTTGGCTACTTGTGTTTGGCAAATCAAGAGCTTGGGTATGGTATAACTAGAGATGGCAAATTTTCGAGAATTTATTTTGAGAGAATTTTCTCGGAGAATATTCGGGAACATTGGAGAATTTTGGAGAATTTCGATGAATATAGTTTCTTAACATCATTTGGGGCTTTTCAAATTTTTTTTGATACACAAAATCACAAAATTTACATTGAAATTTGTTTTCCTTATTTTGTCTGAAATATTTTCACATCAACCCTCTAGGTTTAATTTTCGAAGGAATTTCCTCAAAACTAATATTAAATTAAATATTTCTTTACACACGCTCTGCACAGTACAGGGACAATGTAATAACTTATGGCGTTTCCGGTTGGTAGAAATCGTGCAAAAAAAATGTGTTTGTGTTTCTGTCTGTTTCTTTAAGAGGCTGAGACAAAGAGCTGGAAGTATACATATACACTCAGTTCTCAGTGGCACAAAAATATGTCAGAATAGAAGGTTTTTTGGATATCCGATCTCGGAAAACGGATGACGGATGCATAAGACTCCGGCTTTGTTTTCCGTTTTTCACAATAAACTGATAAATTTAAAAATTACAGCTTACTTCCCATAAATTCTCCAAAAATTACTGTATATTCTCATAAATTCTTGACCCTAAAAAAATCATAAATTCTCGAGAATTTAAGGTCAAAGATTATTCTCAGTAAATTCTCTGTTCTCAATAGAAGTTCTTTGGAAAATATTCTCAGGGCCATCTCTAGATATAACAGAGTAGGAAACAAACATTTTCACTTCAATGATTAAGAAAGAGACAAATATAAAGTAGAATAGAAAAAAAGTTACATGAATTTTGATTATTTACTACACTTGAGTGTTTTATATCTGACCAATCAAGTGTCTGGAATAGAGAGAAATGGTATGCAAAATTCGATGGGTGAGAAACGGACAGCAATAAAATGGGGACAAAAATATTACACAGATTTTGGCTCGGATTTTGGCTAGTTGTTGTGTCTAGCCAATCAAGAGCTTGGGTATAACAGCGTAAAAGACAAACATATAAGAAATTCAATGATTAAGAAAGAGACAGATCGAGAGACAGATATAAAGTGGAATAAAAAAAGTGACACGAATTCTTATTATTCCCAGCGCTTGAGTGGTCTTGTATCTTGTCAATCAAGTGTCTGGAATAGAAAGAAATGGTATGCAAAATTCCATGAGTGAGTACGAGACAGAGACAAAATGGAAACAAAAATATTACCTTAATTTTGGCTATTTTTGTCTGGCAAATCAAGAGCTGGGGTATAACAAAGTAGGAGACAAACGTATAGAGAATTAAGTGATGACGAAAGAGACAAATATAACGTAGGAAAAAAAGTGGCATCAATTTTGATTATGCCCAACGCTTGAGTGGTCTTGTATCTGGTCAATCAAAAGATTCAAAAGTGTTTGGAATAGAAAGATATGGTATGTAAAATTCAATGGGTGGGAAAGGGAAAGAGATAAAATTGGAACAGAAATATTACACAAATTTTGGTTATTTGTGTCTGGCAAATCAAAAACTTGAGTATAACAGAGTAGGAGACAAACGTATGAAGAATTCAATGACTAGGAAACAGACAAATCTTGAGACAAATATAGAGTAGGAGGATAAAAAAGTGACAAGAATTTTAATTATCCCCGGAGCTTGAGTGGTTTTGTATTTGGCCATAGAATAGAGAGAAATGGTATGCAAAATTCAATTAGTAAGAAAGGGACACAAATGAAATGGGAACAAAAATATTACACAAATTTTGGCTATTTTGTCTGGCAAATCAAGAGTTTGGGTATAACAGAGGAGTAGTGATGTAAAATGCTCGAGCAAGTATTTTAGGAGAACGTTCTCCGAGCACGATCGAGAATTAACGAGAATAAACGAGAATAAACGAGCAAAAACGAGCAGGACCCGAGAATTTATGCTTTTTATCAGAAGCTGAATAAAACAAAACATTTTTCTAAATAATTTCTGATTTTTCTCAAATTTCCCGAAATTCCCAAATTTTTCGTGAAAGTTCTGAATATTCTGAAAATTCTTGATAAATGTGCTGAAAGTTCTCAAACTTCTTAAGAAAATATACCTACTTAATACATAATTAATCACATAATTTGTGAATTGTGTCTTGTGTCATGTTTGATAACAATAATTATTCTAATTTGGGGTTTTCTGTGAAACTTCAACATACAATTATCATTAGGATTCTTTTTTTTTTTTTGATAATAAAATAAAATAGTGATTTTAGTTTAAGTATATTCCAGTACAACACTACCTTTGCGTCCAAAAAAAATAACTATTGCTGCTAAGTTGCTTCCTGGTTCTCGGGCTCAATATTCGATATATCTTCGCCTTCAACAGCTTCCATAAATATATCTCTACTTTATGGCGTCATGTGATTTTATTGGTTAGGATCGTGCTTGAGAACGTGCTGAATATTTTCTATCGTGCTCATTGTGCTCCGAAGGTAATATTCAGCACGAACCTTTTTTTCGTGCGCGAACGGTCGCGAATGTTCTCGAAAGCACAATCAGAACGTTCCCTTGTTCACATCACTACAGAGGAGACAAACTAATAAAGAATTCAATGATTCAGAACATATTCAGAAAGGGACAAATATAAAGTAGGATAAAAAAAATGGCACAAATTCTGATTATTCCCGGCACTTGAGTGGTCTTGTATCTGGTCAATCAAAAGTGTTTGGAATAGAAAGAAATGGTATGCAAAATTTAACGGGTAAGTAATGGATAGAGACCCGGATAGAGATAAAATGGGAAGAAAAATATTACACAAATTTTGGCTATTTGTGCCAGTAACATAACAAGAGATCGGGCTCGAGATTGGGTATAACAATCAACAGTATAGCAATGTAGAAGACAAAGGTATAAACGATTCAATGATTAAGAAAGAGACAAATAGTAGTAGTAGAATGAAAAAAAGTGACATAAATTTTGATTATTCCTGGCGCTTGAGTGGTCTTGTATCTGACCAACCAAGTGCCTGGAATAGAGAAAAAATAGAAAAATGGTATGCAAAATTCAATGGGTTAGAAATAAAATGGTATTGGAAACAAAAATATTAGGTTCACACATTTTAGTTATTTGTGTCAGTAACAAAACAAGAGCTTAAGTATAAGAAAGTAGGAGACAAAGACATAAAGGATTCAATGATTAAGAAAGAGACAACAATAAAGTAGGAGAAAAAAAAGTGACATGAATTTTGATTATTTTTGGCGCTTGAGTGGTCTTGTATCTAACCAACCAAATGTCTGAAATAGAGAGAAATGGTATGAAAAATTCAATGGGTGAGGAAAAGACAGAGATAAAATGGAATCAGAAAATTATGCTCTTCAAGAATATAGAGTCAAATATAGGGCATTCCATTTGAAAAAAGTTAAAAATAGGCAAAATTTCAAATTTCTGACAATAAATGTTTTGTTTCTTAAGATGGATTCTGAAAATTTAGCTAAAATTGCCCTACATTTGTATTTACACTTCTATTTCTCCATCTACCTGTATAGGTAAAGTCTACAGCGATAGGGTGTCAAATTATTATCTGACACCCTGTACATTTCTTTATAATTTGAATTATTTATACAGCATTAACAAAAAACAAAACCTAAAGCCAAAAAACAGTTCCTTACCATTATCCAACAATTCAACAATAGTAGCTGGAAACTTGCCGACATCGCTCCACTGGGCCATGCATCTCTGGCCAACCTCAAAACCACCTTTGGGTTTCACCAGTTCCGACTTCACCATTGGCGCACGAATCCTGGGACTCTTCATGGAAATCCATTCATCACACTTATTGGGAGACTCATCAAAGTGGATCAAAATTTCGTTTTCTTGATAATCGAGTTCAGTGATTTTTGCTTGGCACCATGTGTTGTTGTTGTCTAGTACTTCGAGGGGCGCATCAAGATGAAAGTTTACGAATGGTATTGTAGGGGTTGGAGAAGGGGGTTTTTCGATTTCTTGCACCACCTGAGTGATTTCTTTGTTTGATTTAGGGGATTCTTTTTCTTTTTTGGATTTTATTAAGGTTTTTATGTAAGATTTCAGTATTGATTTGTTGGGTTTTGTTGTTGTCTCTGTTGCAGATGATTCGGCTTCTGGCAAATCTGTGTTGTCTTCAGTTTCGGGTGCTGATTGATTGTTGTCTTCTTGAGGCTTGTTTGCCTCTTCACTGGGTAATTGTTTTTTGTCTTCGCTTTTTTTCTCTTCACTGGGTAAATGTTTTTTCTCAGAAATTCTTCTTTTGGTTACTGTTGATGTTTTCCTATTTGTTGTTATTTCGGTGACAGTTACCGGTTCAGTGCTCCAAGGAAACACACTTGGAAGGACGCCCTGTTTCAGCATATACTTGGAACCTTTGAAGCTGCAAAAATTCGCTTTCAAAAAGTGTCTGGAGCATACGAATATCATTTTTAGGTTGGCTTTTTCTTCGGGAATGTGGCACAGCGATAGCCATTTGGGGCGGAGGTCCCCGTGGGGCGGCACTTTGTGGAACGTGACCCCTTCGTGTTCCTCCTTTTTCGAATCCGAAGTGCAGTTTTCTACGCTGCATTTTCTGCCCATTTTGATAAATTAGTGTTTTGTATTCAACTTGTAATCGCACTTCACAGTTTTGCACAACATTTTATCATTTTTTTAAAAATTTGTTTGTTATTTCGATTGTTTGCTAACTAGCTGCTTGCTAGGTTATATTTAACTGTCAAGCCGTCAAGCGTCACCCATATGACAAAAAGTCAAATATTAAATACAGTGTTGCCAATGATTAAAACATAAATTTTGTTTTGATTGCACAATAATAAGCAATAAATATGATTAATTTAAAAAAGTAAAGCTTCTTGAGTCAATTTTTGATCAAAAACCATCAATTTATCTAATTTTAATTACAGTTTTAATGAAAAATTCCCACTGAAAATTCCATAATGGTCCTTTCTCCTGTCAGTTGTCTTCATTCAAAAGTGCAGCGTTGCCAAGTTGTCATGGATCAAAAAATTAAAATTTAAACAATCGATATTTTTATTAATATTTATGTTATATGTGCTAATTGTTAAATAATTAAATTATTTTTTAATATACCAATAATAGTTATATGCTATTCACCAATTTCCAGTGATTTTGTGGTGTTTTTTTGTGTTTTGTGTACTCATCAAGCATCAAGCTGCTGCCAATAACCTCACTTTTTTAAATGTTTATTTATGTATTTGTTATTTATTAATTTGTACAGTTATTAGTAACAAAAAGCCAATAAATAAGTAATTAATAATTAAGCCAACTATTGGAAATATCCTAGAAATATGTCGGACGAAGAATTGGTAAGTGAAAGAGGGGCACACATTTTTTTTTTGATACTCATTTTATATTTATACCTCGATTTATACACAAATAAATAAATACAATAATGTTGACAATTTCTCAAATCAGTTATTAAAATACTGGGAAAAAGAAAAACAAGCTGCTAATTTACTGAAGATATTTAACAGTGGTGTACTAGAATAATTATTTACTTCTTTCGAACCTAAGAGCACAAGTTTAGTTAGTTAATAGTTAACCCGAGAGTTAACCTTAAGGTTAACCGTTACTTAGAAAGAGCATATTATGTACTTATCCAAAAATAAGATAGTATATCCTTTTTGTTAATAAATGTAAAGTAGGTAAATTTTTAATTATAAGTACCTATCGTTAAAATGTATGATGGCCGTGTCCACCAACTATTTTAGGGGAGCCCTAACAATAAGTATTCTTTAAAATGACATTTTTACATGGAGAAATGTCAGTTTAAGGCATTCCTATCGTTAGGGCTTCCCTGAAAGAGTTGGTGGAAATGGCCATGAGATATGAGATCGAGTATGAGATATAGTAGTATAAATATTTTGGTTCTGATCTAGTGTTGTAAATAATCTTTTATTTAGCAAATACACGCTAGTTCACAAAATTTTACAGTTTAACCATTTTACAAAGGAAAGTACTTACAGTACTGAAACAATCTTAGCCATTCAATATAAACAAGAAATTAAAAAAAACAGTCAAAAACATCTTTGCAAAATCCAAAAAACACAACTGTACAATCACTGAAATGGACAAAGGTCAAAGACAGGAGTCAAAATGGATAAAAACTTGATTAAATGTTTTGTAAGATGTATAGACTATGTAGGTACCTAGGTACTTTGGTAACAAGATCATTTTGCTTGTAAAATCAAGATTCTCAGAAGCAAAATGTGAACCCCATGTTTCCAGATATCCTGAAGTATACAGCTCTGTGAAAGTCACTATTAAGCAGACTAATCTGAAGGATGCTTGGAAGAAGGAAGCATGGCCCGAAGGAGCACTAGTTTCGTTTTTTCGGAATCGCAGGAAGGATCCCCGCGGGGAGTAGGTGAATTCAGTAAGCCAGTTTTTCAACAAAAAAATATAGACCAACGCAAACACAAATTATCTATTTATTACCAAAATGTGCGTGGTCTTAGGACCAAAACACATACTTTTTATAATAATATTATCTCTGAAAATTATGATATAATTGCACTTACTGAAACATGGTTGAATAATACTTTCTTTGATACTGAACTATTCGATAACAGGTACTCAGTAATCAGGCATGATAGGAATTCAGGAAAATTAAGGGGTGGGGGAGTACTTCTCGCAATTAGGAAATGTTTCTCTTATGAAATAATAGATTCACATACATTATGTCAGTCTGAACATGTGATAATTAAGATTAAGTGTAAAAGAAAAAGTTTTTATATTGGATTAGTATACTTTTGTCCTAATGAAAATTGTGAAAACTATGAAAGTTTTTTACAAATTTTTGAGCATTTTATTTTTGAAAATGATGATAAATGTAAAATTGTGATATTGGGGGATTTTAATTTACCGTTCCTTTATGAAACCAGCTGTGATAAAAACCTACTTTTAAGAGAATATATGTGTTTGTACAATTTTCAACAACATAATATTATAAAAAATTCTATTGATAGACTATTAGATTTAGTAATTTCAGATTTGGAGGACATAGTGATAGAAAGGTCTAAACTGCCAATGGTGCCTGAAGATCCATACCACCCAGCATTATGCCTTACCTTTTCAATGGTGAGGGATGATGACAGGGTCAATAAATCTACAATGGCTTACAGTTACGACTATTCAAGGGGAAACTACACCTTACTTTATCATCTCTTAATCAACTGCGACTGGGCAAGTGTTCTGAGTTGCACAGATATTGATTCTTGTGTTCATGCATTCTATGATCTGCTTTATCATTGTTTTGATCAATCAATACCTAAATTTAAAAACAAGAGTATTAGTAATGCTCCAAAATTCCCCAGATGGTTCTCCATTGAGTTGGTTCGTAATGTGAGACATAAAAACAAATTACACTCTCTGATAAAAAAAGGTCAGGCAAGTATTGATCAAAGGGAAGAATATGCCAATTTGAGGCTATTTATTAAAGATCAGACTAAGTTAGAATATAAAAATCACATTAAATCATTAGAAATAAATTTAAAAAATGATCCTTCAACCTTTTGGTCATATATTAAAAGTAAATCTCAGAGTAGTGGTATGCCAACTAATATGAAATTAGATGGACAAACCTTTATCGACTCGCAGGAAATTGCCGACGCTTTTGCCAAATACTTTTCCTCAGTCTATGATGCTGGACATAACTGTTATGTTGGGGAATCTGGCTATGATTGGGGTAACTTTAAATTTTCCTTAATAACCAAAGATATTGTGATAGATAGTATTAATTGCTTAAAACCCAAAAAATCAACGGGGCCAGATGGTATACCGGCATGCATCTTTAAGGGATGTAAGGAGAGCTTGGCTGATCCACTGGTTCATATTTTTAATATTGCGCTAAAGAGTTGCTATTTTCCTGCATCCTTCAAGGAATGTTTAGTGTCACCAGTTTTTAAGGGTGGTGAGAAAAATGATGTAAAAAATTACCGTCCCATTTGTCTCTTGAACGTTCTCTCAAAGATTTTTGAAACAATTATATATAATAATATTTTTGAACATGTTAGTGCCAGTCTGTCGGTATATCAGCATGGTTTCATGCCCGATAAGTCTACTGTGAGTAATCTGCTGGTGTTCTCACAGGATGTCTCTCAGGCTATCAGTGATAAAAAGCAATTGGATGTAATTTATACAGACTGCACCAAAGCTTTCGATAAGGTGAATCATGAGATTTTGTTGAAAAAATTGGTCAACTTTAATTTCTCAGAACAAGCTTATAACTTTATTAAGTCCTATCTTCTTGACAGATCACAAGTCATAAAAGTGGCAGGATCCAAATCACTTAGTGTTCCAGTGCCATCTGGTGTTCCACAGGGTAGCAAATTGGGCCCCTTGTTGTTTTTAATATTTGTAAATGATCTCCCAAATGTTCTTTGTAGCTCCAAAGGATTGCTTTACGCTGATGATTTCAAACTTTATAAAACCATATCTAGTCAAGAGGACTGTGTCTCACTTCAAAATGATCTTGATTCTGTGGTCAAATGGTTTGATACAAATAAAATGAAAATAAATATTGTTAAATGCAATAGTATGTCTTTCACCAGAAAATTGAATTATGTCATTCAGGATTATTCAATTGAAAATGTTCCAATTAACAAGGTTGACGCGGTGCTTGATCTAGGTGTCATATTTCAGAAAAATCTTAAATTTAATTCACACTTTGATAATATTGTCAATAAGGCATACCAAGTCTTGGGCTTTATTATTAGAAACAGTAAAAATTTTGAAATACCAACTGTAATTAAATTATACAATTCATTGGTTCGCCCAAAACTTGAGTATGCTAGCTCAGTGTGGTTTCCAATTGCAGCAACAAATCAGGATCAAATTGAAAAGGTCCAAAAGCGTTTTCTGAGATACTTATATGTTAGAAGGAACAATGAATACCCTTTTAGAATCTCCTACCAGTCGATGTTAAATGGCTTTAATTTTCAAACTTTATCATCTAGGCGTAGAGTACAAGCTATAATCTTAATTTATAATATTGTAAACCATAAGAAATATCAACACTGTGATCTTATCAGGCATATCAGTTTTAATGTTCCTAAAATTGGCCTAAGAATTGTCAATAGAGGATTATTCTGGGTAGACCCCAATGACAGTTTATCCCCTTTATCTAATATGCAAATAATAGTAAATGAATTCCTGAACCTCTGTAACAGAATAGATATGTTCCACAGCAGTCTGAGACAGATAATTGCCTTGATAACACCATAGACTGTCCTCATATTTTTAAGTTTTAAGTAGGTTTTTGTGTATTTTTTTTTTTAATGTGTGTCTTTTTTACTTTGCATGTAATTACTATAGGTGTTTGTAAAGTTATTCAATAAATGAAATGAAATGAAATGAAATTTTCCCTAAGCAAAAACAATTTTAAATTTTTCTTAAAAACATTCAAGGATAAACTATTTTTAATATTATTAGGTAACTTATTAAAATTTATTTATTTTTATTTATTTATTTATTCAGCAATAGTTCACAATGTACACAAATATACTACAACTTAATGTGGATACAAATAAATAAAAGAAACCCTTACAGCAATAACCCTTGCTATAGTAAATCCTCCCTATCTTCCTACCCCTGCTAAATAAGATATGGTGCACTATAGTACTTACAATACTGTGTGTGCACCTGCTGGTTTCCTTGATAAATTAAACTTACGTTGAGGTTATCTAGCTTTACTTTACTACTAACAAGTCAACAGTTAGAAACCATCACAATATACTTAAAAAAATAAATAAAAATAAAATTATAACCATAACAACAGCAGTACAGTAATACTAATAACACTTTCAATCCTTGATAAACATTCTAGTCAGAAAATAAAGCTTTGTATCCCTACCTATTCCTAATATGTATGTGACAAATTTATATAACACTGGATATAACAATTTTATACCCACTATTCACTATCCATTTAAGTATTTTATATTTCCCTCCTTTGATACTATTTTTCTCGTTTCTTTTCCCTAATACTACTAGGCAAATCATTATATACCTTTGGGCTAACACAGTAGGTAAATATGGTTCTGACAGGTTGTATGTCTTGGGTTCTGCAGCTCAACTTTTCCTTGTGCAGTTCTCCTAGTATTAAGACCTTGCTTTATGTTCTCTTGTAGTAAGAATTCTTACACATGCACCTTACCACAGATTTAATATACATTTGGTCTATGGTTAGTGAGCCACTTTCTTTATAAACAAGGTCACTTGGGTATCTTTTTTTTTTGAAAAGGATGATTTTTATTATCCACCTATGAACCACACTTAGTTTTGACAGTATTGTTGAGCCTGCATT